GGGGGGGAACAGAAGAGTGTTTTAAAGATGTAAAGGAGGCAGACACAAAGGTAGATGAAAGGTGAGGTGAGTACTGTGAAAGTGGGAGAATATGACATACAGTGGGGTGATGGTAGTTTAAAGTGAGAAGTCAACTGCCGGATAATAGACTTTTTTTGCCGTACGAATATACGTTGCCCAGAGTGCACCAAGTGTAATAACTATATGAGAGCAAATAATTATCTTGATAACCGGAGCATTTATTTGATCGAGTAAATCTATCTTCGCTGCTTCTAATGCAAGTTTCCTCTTTGTAAATAATATATGTAAAACCGCGACCTTTTTTGCTTTGCACGGTTCCTTCTGCGCAGAATCTAATTAATCACTTCTGAAACAAATAAAAGGGCGATGACTTGGTTTGCAAAGTGTATTGTTTGTCGTATCGTCGTCTCAGTATTTTCGGTTTATTGGCGCATATTTTTGTGTTTACTAAATAAGGTAATGCGAACGGATCAGATTAAGTAATTGACAAGTGGTATTATTCCTACATCGTGCCAAGTGTCAATGATCATCCGCAGTCCCCAAATCCTCCCCTCCCCCACCCCCCTCCATTACCAGCCCATCCAAAAAAATATTTGGTCAGTTAAATGAGCCATACATACTTATTTGCTGTGAAATAATTATAATTTAAAACGCAATAATTATTGTGCATGTACCACATGTCTGCATGAGTACAATTAGATGGACATGTGCGCTAGCGAAGATAAGTCGACATAGGGATTAATTAATAAGAAATCAGAAACGAAAAAGTGGTTCAATTATTAAGACATTCTGTGCGTATTAAGGCGCTTTAAAAATTTAAATTGTTCTAATTACGTGAATGATATTAATTATTAGACTACATTTTAGAAATATTATACCGACTTTTCTCATGTGACTATTCTCGATAATAACTGAATGCTGCATTATATCCCTTATTTTTTTCTAAACACTTTTCACCAATTTTTTTCTCTATCTGAATCATTCGAAAATGGAATATTCTGCCCTATTTACTCATTTAAATGCTTGTTATTAGTCATTATGATTGATGCTCCAATTGGCCCAAGTGGCCTCTAATTTAGTTCACTATGAGGCCACTCTCTAGTGGTGTTTATACGTGTTTGCATGCGTAAGACTGCATGTCTGTATGAATTGTAGATAGAGGGACTCCGTAAACCCTGCTAAGCAAATTTAGCTTCACGTAAAAGATGATTTAGTTTACTTTTATGGGAATCTTGTAAGTTAATTCAGACGCAAACATAAAAATTGAGTTAATTTAAAATTGACTTTTAGTCGGCGTAACCCAATTTTCTTAAAAAAGGAGAACAATGACAATGTTAACAATTCCGGAACAAGAATGAAGCTAAATCTACCTTCTGCCCCTTTAAAGCAATGAAACGATTAGACATGGATTAGTTGTAATATACATTTTGCTATAAAAAAACATTTTAATTCCATTGTAGAACAAGCTTCGGGAACATAGTTATCATATTGAAAATTCTATTTGCTTAAATGAATAAAAACAACAACAATTAAGACATTATGTTATATTTGAACAAATAAATTTTAACTTTAATTTTGCTTCTGGATCCTATGCTGACAGATTATCAGTGAAACTAATTCTGCGCCACTGAGTTAATGTTCCACCTCGGGGATTAGTGATTTCCAGAGGCGCTCTGTGAGTACCCCTACCGTCTTCTTTAATATGCTGGAGCGTGCTACTCCTGGTGTCTTGGCGGTTAGTCCGAGCAAAAGCTGACATTGCTCCCGTCTTAGGGCCAGAAAGCTGACATCTTAGCATTATAACAGTACCGAAATAGACCTTTTTTTAACACAAAATTTCTCTACGTTTACCTTTCCTATGCTCGTAAATTTTGTCCACACCTTACCGCATTCCACCCCCAACTTGCCCATGGTACCTACGTCCGTGGGTGTCAACGACCTTAACCCCAATTAATGTGGTGACGGTGGGCCATAGTTTACGAGTCGTCTGGGCAACACACACTGCTGTACAAATTTACGAGTTTGTACCGTCTACGGACATATTTTAGGGCAGAGTTAACTTCAATCTCAAAGGACATTTGAGGTCATCATAGTAAAAATTTTACGGTTTCAATAAATCAGCAAACAATTGTATTCATCTTGACATGAATCCAACTACCTAATTACTTGACTTCATTATATTAATGCGGAAGTTTAAAGTACCACATTAATAGGGGTTAACAGGTTAACCTGAGAGTGGATCATAGTCCCCTTCTTTGAAAATTAAACGCAGTAAAGAGGTAATAAGGACATTTTGCAAGTGATGAAAATACTAGTGGCAACTTCCAAATTTTTTTAGTCAAAACAAAAGCATTCCATAATATTTTCTTTTCCTCATAAAAGTGGCTGGTGCTAGATAAGGGGTAAAAATCATTGCATGAGATAAAAATATTGACAAACAGAGGCGCGTCAAGTAGGTATTTCGGGGATTAGTAATACTAGCAAAAGAATTTCATTGGCTTTTGTAGCATGCCCATTGATACTTTCGAGTAATTTGAGAATTCTAAAATTCCTTGAATCTAGCTCACATTCTCTTGGCATCATTTTCAGATTACTTCGAAGTAGGTATTTCCCTAGTTCCTTTCAAGTACAAATAACCCCCCAACGTATTTGTGTATATGACATAGTAAATTCAATTATACCTTCTGCTTTATTTTAATCAATACTGATTTTGCCCGTTAGAGATGAATTTATTGAGTAGACTCTTCTGTACACGATATTTATGTATGGCAAGTGAATCACTTTCGAAATATAACCATTCAATAAAAGATAGATGACTTTTGCATTTGATTGGGCAGAAATTGAGAAGTGAATTGAGGGGGGGGGGGAGGGGGGGGGTTGGAGTATCTCATGCTTGGGGAATGATTAAATACTTAGCAATTGCACTGGAGTGATACTTTGACATACAGCATTTCGCATGCGTTGAATGCTGTACTTGTCAACCAATAGATTTTCCGTATTGGGTTCGATAAATTCCTATTATGCTTAACGTCAAAATTTTTCTGAGTGTGTTAGACTGAAGTAAGAAGGAAAAGAGTAGTATTTTGAGTTTAAAAAAATTTATTCTTCCTCCCCCCCTCCCTCCCCTGCCTAGACTGAGTGAAGTGCAGCGGTCCTCTCTCTCCACCTTCGACATGATCTTTCAAATCCAGGAAAACCTATGTGACAATTTCTCAATCAGCAGCAAGGAAGATTTCTACCATGTTAATTTTGCAAAGTTTGACAATTTAATTAAGTTGTGGAGTGTAGTAACGACTTTTGATTAATTAGCTTAATATTCAACAAGTTGCAAATAATTTGTTAAAGCATTATTCTTATATGCCAATAGAACGGGCGTTCTGTAGATTATTTCCTTTATCCAAAGGGAGTGCTAGCAAATAACTTCAGTCCTCAGTGAAGAGAGGAAGAACGTGTCTGCCTAAATCACGATTGCATCACATTTCTAAATGACAAAATGAAAAAAAAATAATCATCAAAAAGCGGAAACTGCCATCTTATGTATGTTTTCATTCAAGCAACCAGCAAATTAAAATTACTTTCAAGCTCACTTGACTTTTAAGGACTTTGCTCAATTGGATAACTTACAGAGGGAAGATTTTATACAATGCCGGATTTTTTTATTTAATCAAAGTTGTGGCACAAGTCTTGTGCAAGATAAGGATCCAGGCCATCCATTGCTATTGAGTACAGCTTGGAGGCAGAAGTTGTTAGTTAACAAGAGCTTCTGGGTGGATTCAAGGTGTCTTAACATAAAATCCATTCTTACCTTAGGAAAGATTGAGGAAGCACCTTGCGCTAACGATCATACTCGTCAAACTATGCAGAAAAAAAATCTGGAAATCGTTCTATTCAAAAGTAGCTCATCAAATGTAAATTGACTGCATGGAATTCATTACTTCAATCATCCCATCTTTGTGTAACCGCATGCATTAACAAAGAAGCCAAATGTAAATGATCCGTACACGGACGGATCCAACCAATGCTGAAACAACGTGATTTTCCCATAAGAAAAAAAAAACAAAGAATTTCTTTCGAAAATTACTTTTTAACAACAAATTTCTAAGTGTGATTAAGTCGAATCTCCCCAGTTTCTATCAGTAATTAATTGCTGGAAGTTCAAATACATCGCCTTTGCAAAGTTTCAAATTCCAAAAATGACCATTTTTATTGACATAATTTTTTCTCATAATAATTACGTGACAAATTGTATGAAATCCGGAAACTCATGCTATTGAATTTTTATAACTTCTCAATGGTGAATTTTAATTAATTAAATTACTATTCATTATGCAATTAAAAGAACATTGTCATTACTTTATTTGAAAACATGACGTATTATTACTGAAAACAAATTCCGAAAAGAAGGAGAAAGGCGGTGAACTCAAACAAACGAAGAAGTGAGGACGTTGTGGAGCAATCTCCCCACTTCTCAAAGTTTTCTAGAGGCAAAGACAGAAGTTGGGAGAATCGGCAGTATTTTTTACTTTAAATCATTAGTCGCATTACAAAGAGCCTCGATTTTTCTCTTCATATATTTTTTTCATAACGCTACTGCATGATATTTCGAACAAGGAAAAAAAACGAAAGAAAGAGGTGGATCCCGGTTGAAGACCTAACTTATTAAATTTTATATACCATTAAGTTAGAAGCCTAATGCAATCTTCATGATTTCAACCTTCCGAAATCATTTCGGGTCTTTTTAAGCGAAACCAGATTAATTTTCCACGAGTGTTACACCTGAAGCATAGCAGGCTATTTTGAGATTCATGGTCAAACTAGAAAGGTACCCTGTCCACTTCTGCAAACCCAAAATATAACGAGGAGGGAGAATTAGCTCCGGTGAGATTCTCGTGGCGGTGGTGGTGGTGGCGGAGGAGAAGGAGGTGGAGGAGGATGAGAGGGCGAAGGAGTGGATAAAAATCTAATTCACTGGGTCTGCTCCAATTTTTTCATGTTCCGCATGCGCACAACTGAGAATTTTGCTTGTAGAAGTAATCTCAACATTGGCACGCAATTTGAGTACAAAATAAGTTATTCAAGGATGTTGTGAATATTAGGTAGGTAGTTAGGTTTAGACCTGATCTTACTACGGTAAATGCGCTGGTTAAATGAAAGTCTGTGTGGTAAGTTACGAAGACATATGGAACATTAAAAAAATCAGGTGAAAACTGATTTAATATTTACAACATTCCTAGAGTGGATCAGAGTAGAGATTCTTTGCTTTTCTTATATAACTGGCTATGAAACATTTCATCGAATATTCCGATTAAATAGGAAATAGACGCTTTTGGAAAGTGTTCCATTGAAGTGACCTTCGAGGAGGGGGGGGGGGGGGGGGGGAGAGGGGAAGAAGTACAAATAATGGTATTTATTTTCACGAGTCCAAGTCTTTTTGTTACCAATATTAGGGTAGAATGCAGCCTCTAATCCAATTTGTTTATTTGGTACGATCTCTATGGAGGTGGATATGTACGTCTATTGAATAGGCTTCTAATTAAGATGTTAGAATGAAATATCATGGAGATCATAATCTAGGGAAAAATATGATGTGTAGCAATAGAAATGTAAATTATTCCTCAAACCACCATGCGGGAAATTGCTTGCCACTTTTTTTCCAATTTCCAGAAAGCACTAGAACATAGGGAAGTGTATAGCCTTTCAATGGCATGATAAGAGAAAAGATTCGAACGAACGCGTCAAAAAGCCTGAAAAATAGATTTTTGTTTTATTTTTTGAGGTTTAGGTCCCCCCCCCCTCCCCGGAATGATCCATTGATTTGGCATCTAACTCTCCGAACAAATTCCCCGCTCAAGGTTACCTAGTCTTAATGAGCAGTCTATTGATTGGAGCGATTGCTTAACTGATTCAAATGTACTTCCTCAATCTAAGAGTTGGATGACTGCCAGGTTGGTAAGAGGCGATTTAATTTTACATTGGAGAAGCCAACTAGCGTTAATTCAAATATGAACACCATTCTTAAAAGCGAGATTCAAGTATGCAGAAGGTACTAAAATTGACCTCAGAATGCGAATGCTTTATCATGAAAATGAAAATAATTGTAACCATAAGTAAAGCATGTTTTAAATCATCGGAAATTTTCCATTTTGATTAACAATGAAATGAAAATGGTGAATTATCGGGAGTATTTCCACTTTATTTTAAGCTAAATTATTCACTGTAAAAGTAATAATTAAATTAACACTTCTCTTTTAGATGAATTTGTTTCTTTTTTTAATAGCAGTGACCGCCACTACTTGGTAATCTCATGCAAATTATAATTTTACAAATCTTTGACAGGAGAGCTGTGTCACCAATATTTTACCTTGATTTATTCACAACATTACCTCATTTTATTTGAAATTTTTAACTCCTTCTATATCCCATTTGACGATTGCTGAATAGTAGAAAGTCATTTCAAGAAATCATTTTCTGCCAGCTTTTGAGTTGAAATATTTTGCTAAAAGGGCGGAGGGAGGGAGGGAGGGGGGTGGGGGTGGTTAGGGGGATTATATATCAGGCAACTTGAATGAAGGGCAAAGCGAATTTAGTTAAGGTAGGACTAACACCTGGGCCAAATCTGCTATGGCCCATTGTTTTAGGAAATGCACAATTTTCCTTTGTGGAAATCAACTGAAATCAGACAGCAGAGAGTTCAATAGACGAGAAAATAAAAGGTGTCGGTGAGGTTCCGAGAGGAATGCCAAAGTACTTAAAAATTATTTTTCATTTGAATTCCTGCAAAGTTCGACTCTGGGATTG